TTGTGTTTCTGCTGATGTTATTCTAGTAGTTGCGACAAAAGAAGGCTTGGCACATATCAAAAATAGACCTTTGCTCTTGCATCTGTCACAAAAATTAAAAAGGAAGAGGGGACCCTCCCTGGTGGTGCAATGGGTTAGGACACAGCACTGCAAGCTAGCCACAGCAACTTCAGTGTGAGTTCAACTCCAGTCTGTGAGGTGACCCACATGACAGCAGACATCTCCTGTCTCACCCACTGCTCCCTGCAGCTGCAGACTTCGTCAACCTGCCTGTTCTGCTCACCTTTCTGTCTCTGGTGAATCCTCTCACCGACCCTGCATTTCTGGTTTGTACCCCAGTTCTATATGCATAAATAAATAAATCTTAAAAAAAAAAAGGAAGAGGGACTCTTCCTTGCACAATTTCAGAAATAAAAGGTGGGCTGGGTAGGGTCACTGTGTTAGAATACCAGGTCAATAGTCACCTGGCAGCCAGTCAGGGATTATGGGGTAATTCGGAAGGTTGACTTAAAAATAGAACTCGCTACCTCTGATTGCTTGAGAATGCATTACTCTATGCTCCTGACATAAAGCACTAAAATTCTCAGACTAAAGTGATATAGTTAAGACACTTGAATACTCTTCCAGGACAAAAGAAACATTCCAACATCTACTTAAGGTAGGAAAAAAGTGTATTGGCAAAGGAGAAACCAAGATAGTTGGGCAGGTGCAATAGTTGGTTTGAGTGCAAACAAATTAACTTCTTAGCCTCTTAGGGCAAAGCCCAAATGTCTTAGCATGGCAGAGGGCCTTCATAATAGGGCCCTACTAACTAGCTTCCTTATCTCCTCCCCATTCCCCCCACTCCATTCCAGCCCAGACTCCAAGCTACAGCCATAAGGAAACACTCTGTTCTCCAAACTCTCTCTGTTGGAACTTTGCACTAGTGGGTCTTTATGCCCAGTCCTTCGCCTTACTACCTTCACTGATTCATTCTTCAGATCTCATCTGTCACTTCCGTCAAGAAGCAAACTGGCATCCTTCCCCTCGAAGACTAGGTTAGTCTTTGCTTAACTTTCTACACTTACAATTGACTTGTTCTTTCTTAATACTGTGTTTATTTGTAGGTTCCTCCTCTGTATTCATCATCTTTCATCTTTAGCCAAAGTTGAAAAGGGAGAGGGACTCACTCCCCCTCCTATTCATTCATCTGGATCATATTCATCATCACAGCCTGTCTTGTGTCTCAAGGTCAACAACCACACTAGAATTCATTTTGAGAATCTCCACCAATGTATGATTTACCATTGTTTGCATATAGCTGCCCTGAAGAAAGTTGAAATTACACTTTAAAAGCAAGATAGTGTTAAAATATGTACAAAATGGGCCCTCCCTGGTGGTGCAGTGGGTTAAAGCACTGCACTAAGAAGCTAAAGCCACTTCCGCATGAGTTCGATCCCCGCCTGCCCTGGAGAAGACCACATGGCGCGGCAGACCTCTCCTGACCCGCCCGCTGCTCCCCTCAGCAGTGTACTTCATCAATCTGCCTGTTCTGCACCCCACTCTGTCCCTGGTGAATCCTCTCACCCTCCGCATCTCTGGCCTGTACCCCAGTTCTGTATGAATAAATAAATAAATCTTAAAAAAATGTACAAAATGAAGAATGATGTAATACATACATACCTACATGCATATATATAACAAGATACCAGAAAAAACAAGACAGTGCTACCCTAAAGCATATTATATACTGAAAACCCTTGTACCACATTTCCAAAGGCAGAGTGCAGTGTTTGAATGCTGAAATGTCTTAGAAAGCTTTCAGATGTGTTTTCTTATTAGACTCAGCCTCTTATAGGCAGAGGTTGTACTTTCCAGTCTCACAAAGAAGGCAATTGCTTTCAAGTTTTTCATGATTTTTCAGTAAATAAATGGTGGCAGTGTTAATAAACCTAAACATTTTTATTGGACCTTTCATTTTAAGCTCCAGACTTACAAATCCAATTCCATTCTAGTCAGTGTCGAAGGAATCTCAAATTTAAAAACAAATTTGGCATGTCTTTTATGGGTTGAATTGTATCTCCCCAAATTATGGTGAAGTCCCAACCACCACAGTACATATGAATGGATCTTATTTGGAAATACAGTCTTTATGTTTGCAGTCACATTCAATTTTGGGAGGGGCCTTCATACAATTTGACATTGTAAGAAGGGACAAGAATACACAAAGACATAATGACAGAGAAGATGATGGAGCTGGGAGCTGGTACTCCAGTTTGTATCACTGGGAACCACCAGAAACAAGAAAGAAGCAAGGAAGGATCCTCCCAGTCTTCAGAGGTCACACAACCATGTAGACATCTGGATTTCAGACATCTGAGCTCCAGAATAATGAGAATATATTCTATTGTTTTCAGGGATCAGGGTGTAGTGCTATTAAAGCAGCCTTAGAAATACAATCTCCAAAACCTAACTCCTGCTCACCTTCCAAATCACCTCCTCCAATGTTTACAGTAGAGCAGTACCAGGGAGCAGCTCCCCCCTTGACATCAGTCTTGCTTCCTTTGCTGTTACTCTGATCCAGTCACCACCAACTCTCACCTGGCTTTAGTGCACTAGTCTCTTAATGAATAGTCTCTGTTTCCACCCTTGTCCTCTACCCCAGCATGAGTAAGATCATGCTTTACCACTGTTAAAACATGAGTGAGATCATGCCACAGTTCTGCTCAAAATCCTTCAGTGGCTTCCCGACCAACATCAAATAAAGCCCTTCGATATGGCTGCGGGGGCCCCAGATGAGCGGTACCCACAACACTGTCCAGCCCCACCGCACTCTACTCCTCCAGGGCTTGCTTCTCTATGGATCTATTACTCTCCTTGTGGAGCCACCACCGCACCCCACAGGTCTGCTGCACCATGTGGATCACCTCTGGGTGGGGATCGAACTTTTTTTTTTTTTTAAAAGATTTACTCATTTGTACAGAACTGGGGTACAGGCCAGAGATGCAGAGGGTGGGAGGATTCACCAGAGACAGAATGGGGAGCAGAACAGGCAGATCGACGAAGTACACTGCTGAGCGGAGCAGCGGGCGGGCCAGGAGAGGTCTGCCGCGCCATGTGGTCACCTCCGGGGGCAGGCGGGAATCGAACTCATGCGGAAGTGGCTTTAGCTTCTTAGTGCAGCGCTTTAACCCGCTGCGCCACGAGGGAGGGTGGGGATCTAACTTTTACTAAGGTGGCTGTGGCTGGCTCCCAGTGCTGTGCCTTAACCTGCTGTGCCACCAGAGCAGGCCCTCCCCCCACCAGGTGTTTTAAGAGAAACAGTAAGAGCAACCTGAGTCAACGGGGGATACACCCAGCCAACTCTATGGTGGAAAGTGGAGCTTTCCAAAGTCTAGCCCCTGACAAGGGGCTGACGGGAAAAAGGGTTACATTGCTTGCGAGGAAGGGGCCTGTGTGGAAAGCACCGGGGCCTGTGTGGAAAGCACCGGCTCCTCTGGTCTCTGCCTAGGGGACGCTACCTGGGGCATGTCCCAGGGCTTTGGGTCACACGCCAGCCTGCGTGTTCTCCCTCACTCACTCCCAGCTCTCCCTCCTCTCACTCCCTGTGTAAATAAATCCTGTTGTTTCTTATCGCGTGTCTACTTTTGGGGTGTGTCCTGCATTTCGAAGCATGTGGGTAAGGGCCCACCAACTGGGCCAAACCCTGTCTCCCAGGTTCGTCCTGTTTCTCTCAGCTGAAATTATTATGGCTGACTCATGAGTGCCTGGGAATGCAAAAAGGTACTAAGAGTGACAACAACCAGAGCAGCTATGCCATTAAACATTCTGCTCGAAACTTCTTTGGGGGAAAACTGGGTGTCCTTTTTTTTTTTTCTCTTTTAACATTTATAGGCGATGTGGAATACGTAAGAAGTGAGAGATACAGCAATTAAGAACCTGATTTGGGGACCAGACTGCTAGCGTTTCAATCTCAGCTTTCCTACTGGCTGGGTGTGTGACCCTGTTTCTTAAAATCTGTGTTCTACAGGCCCTCCCTGGTGGCACAGCGGGTTAAAGCACAGCACTGAGAAGCTAAAGCCACTTCTGCATGAGTTCGATCCCCGCCTGCCCCCGGAGGTGACCACATGGTGCGGCAGACCTCTCCTGACCCGCCCGCTGCTCCCCTCAGCAGTGTGCTTTCGTCAGTCATACTCCTCTGCTCCCCACTCTGTCTATGGTGAAGCCTCTCACTGCCCCTGAGCCTCTGGCCTGTACCCCAGTTCTGTACAAATAAATAAAATCTTTTAAAAAAAAAATCTGTGTTCTACAATAGGATAATAGTATTTACTCCTTAAGAGTTGTAATGCGAGGGATCAAGTAAGTTAAATTCTGGGGAAAAAAAAATGCTTGGAATACTGCCTGACATACTTCGAACACAGTGAAATGTTTTTTAAATAAGAGTATGATTTTTTACTTAAAAGTCCTTTCTGGGCCCTCCTGGTGGTGCAGTGGGTTAAGGTGCAGCACTGCAAGGGAGCTGCAGTTGCCTCAATGCAAGTTCGATCCCCAGCACCGGAGGTGACCCACATGGTGTGGCAGATGTCTTCTGTCTTGCCTGCTGCTCCCCTCAGCAGTGTGCTTCGTCAATCTGCCTGTCTGCTCCCCACTCTATCTCTGGTGAATCCTCTCACCGCCCCTGTACCTGTGGCCTATATCCCAGTTCTATATGCAAAAATAAATAAATCTTTAAAAAAAAGCAAAGACTTCCAATTAAAGATGAAACTTAAAAAAAAAAAATCCTTTGTAATATTACTTCCAAAGACCTCTTTGACCTTCATGAAAGAAAAAAAGATTTATGGACATTACCTGAGAACTGTCATTTAAATAGAAATATTTAAGGTAAAACTCTTTTATATGAGTCTTCACGTTCCAAGTCTGTCAAATTTATATCAAACCTTCAACTAGATTGCAAAGTGATTTGTATAAAAAATAGATGACCACAAAAGATTATCAAATGAATACTTTATTAGAGTCATAACACTTATAAAATAAATTTCTTTTCATCATGGAGTTCCCAGATTTTAAAACCAGTCATTTTCTCATCTTTACAACTCAGATATATAAAGAAGTTCTTAAATGCTGTATTTTTTGTTCAAGTGCTTTGTCATTCTACTCACAAATCTAGAACATGATTAATCTACAGACGTAAGTATTCACAGTAGATGAGTGTTACACTTGGTTCTTACTGATCTAGAAGCAACCCATGTGTGAAAGCGCCATACAAAGCATTTTCGTGAAGTCATTTAATTTAATGCCACCAAGCATGGACCTGTTATACCTTGGAAACAAAAATAAAATCTCACAGCTAAATCTAGCAGACTAACTTTAAACAATTCCCACTAGAATATATATCTTTATGGCACATATATATGACTTTGTAATATACAGTTCATAATACAGGTTTAAGTGTGGCAGCTAGAGCTAGAAAAACTAAGGAAGTAGGATAGTATAGAAAATATAGGACATATGTATAAAGTCATAAGTCTGATTTTCTCAAGCCACATATTAAAACATATTTTTTAATCTTCATAATTATATCACAAACTATTCTTTGTTTTTTTCTTTTTAGGGGGTTGATACATAAATAGCATCAGATCACTGCACCTTGATTACAATGGCCATTCTTAAGTGTTCTATGTTCCATAAAATCTAATAGCCCAACTTATACATGGCTCAGGGGATGATTCAGCCAAAAAGCAAAGATCTGGAAGTACAAAGTGGCCAAAAGCCCCTCTCCCCAGAGGCTGCCCTTTTTGGAGGCCTGGACAGTGTCGAGGCAGTGGGACTCTAACTCTACCTTGTTCTCCCACTCAAGTCATTCTGGCTCTGTTCCACAGCCAGGATCTCCACAGGGGCTAAATTATGGCATCGTCTCCTGTGTTATTCAGCTAGACAGAGTTTTTGTGATAGAGGTTGTTTCAAAACTGCTTTTGTGTTTATTACCCAAGCAAAACAGCATGGATGTCGGTGGTTATCAAAATATGTAAGACTTTACAACTTTAAGTTAAATTTAATATTCTATTCAAATTTAACTCAAACATCAATGCACAATAACTAGCAGTATAGGTTAATTCTGCAGAGAGCTCTATTCGGTAGAACTTCAAATATCCACACACAAATATTCTGTATTCATGCACAGGGCAAACAATTGTATTCGGAAACACAAATCAATCCAAAGTAAGACATAAGTCACCAAATACCAGTTCCTGCAGTGGTTAACGGTGTCTGGGGACCTCATTTTAATGCCAACTAAGAGATTTGCTCACTTGTTCGGGGACCCTCTTTTTGATTAATCAACAAGGGTTCACTTCAGAAATTACTTTTTCCTATACTCAAATCTCTGCTTGAGTTAGCTTGAAAAAGCATATACCCCTTCAAGGATAAGTATTTGACCATTAACACAAAGGCAAAGTGAGTATTGCATAATGAGACTAAATATTATGTGTCTTATCTAAGTATCTTCATGTCTTTCAGGATAGTCTGATAGTATACAGAGCACAAAAGTAAAGTTTTACACCAGAAGTCAGCAAACTATAGCACACAGCTCCTAGGCCGAATTCAGCCTCGGGCATGTTTTTGTGAAGTTTATTGGCATCTAGCCACACACTTTCATTTATGTATTGTCCATAGCTGCTTTCAGGTAATAAAAGCAGAGCCGAATAGCTGTGATAGCGACTGTATGGTCTGCTATGTCTAAAATATTTGCCTCTGAAACTTTATAGAAAAAGTGTCAACCTTGTTTTACACTAAAGGACTGAATCCATCAAGAAACCTAGTTGAAATATTTTTTTTTTTCTTTTCAGGAATTCTAGGTACCTACTAAAAGTAAGGTTCAGCTGTCTTAGCAACTATAGAAAAAGATACACCTTTCTCATGAGCAATACCTATATATTAGATATTTTATCAATGTTAATGGAAGGATGCAAAATTACAGGTTTTTTCTCTGTTCTACATCATAATAAAATAAAAATTCCATTCACAAAATGAACACAAACTTTTACTTAAGATTCCCTCTCTATCCTGAACAATTCACTTTTGGGATGTTGTTCTCTCTGGGTGAAAGGTATCCCGAGTGATATCCCGAGTGACTGGACGATGCTATGAGTAGACCAAAAAAGATGAACACAGGCAGTTTCTAAGGAGTGTTACGGTCGCCATCTTCGTAAGGCCAAACCCAGACTGCAACCATAACAAGCTGTCGTCACAAAGGTAAAAATCTAAGAGAAAAGAAACAAGAATTTATAAAATATTTATAACACAGACTTTCAGAAATCACTTGTCCTCAGGAACCATTCCCTAATGATAAAGAAACTTCAATGCTTCTGAAAATGTTTGTATTTCTCTCTCTCTCTTTTTTTTTTTTTACTGTTTTAAGCCTTCAGACGATTACTTCTTTTTGCAAACATTCTTGCCCTACTAATTTTCTCATATGTGGATGGTCTTCTGCAGAACATTTGTTCACATACTGGACTCATTTGCTATGTATTCAAATTTTCATTTTATGGTGTATAGTGATTTTATAGCCCCCCCCCCAAAAAAAGGCAACTATTGAGGAAATACCAAATCATTCATTTAACAATGGAAAGTGGTTTGAGCTGAACCAGAAAAACACACAGAAGTGAATCAGGTAGGCATAGAAAATGGACCGTAAATCTGTGCCTACCTCTGAATTACTGTCCTTTGTAGTCAAGCAATGATTTCTTTAGCACTTATATGCACTTCATTACGCCTGTTCTATCTAGACATATAGTAGATATTTCCCTCACCCTTTTGGGGTTTATGATCCATAGAAAACTATAAGCAATTTAATATGATAAAACATGATTTATTACAGGGATCATTTACCAGGATCAAACCTTAATTCTAAGAAGGAATATCACAGTTGAAGTACCATTTCCTTTCCTTCCCTTCCCACACTTCTATTAGTTATCTCTTTGATAGATCTCTTTTAGTGAAATGGAATTTTCCTTTCTGGAATATTGAAATAAAAAGTAAGGGGCTGCATATAATGTCACAATTGCATGGCTCATACATTTAAGAATGTTAGAAACTAGTGACATAGTGGAGAACATGCATAACATGGGACTTAATATATAGGACATGAAGTATTTAGAGATTTATTTACTAAAGCTATTTCACTTAGGGGGAGAGAGAAAGAAGGGTAATAGGACGAAGTCACAGAAGAGAAACCATGACAAGAACCCCATGACAGAGAACACTGAAGACTGCGCTCTTACGGCAAAGACTGTGAGTGAGAATCAATGACATCTACCATCCATCATCAAGAACTCGAGCACCCACTATTCTTATGAACATAGGCTCGTAAGACAACTACAGATAAATCTATCTGGGACTAAAAAGGTCAAGAGAGGCAATAAGAACCTAACCTGTACCACTGAAAAGGAGGGAATGGCAGAAGAAAAGGAAAATCCACTAGGAACTGATGGCAAAAAGGAAGGACACTTGGAATTTGCAAAACTCTTGTAACCAGTGTCTTTTAATTGTGATTTTCTGAACACCAGCATTCTCTGAAAGTATCTCAGAGGTGGCTAGAGGCAGCCTCAGGAGAAGGGAACATGGACATCATTCAAAGTTCCCTTCTGCTACTACAACTAGGGCATCTGTGCTTTTACCATCCATATTTATTGAGTTTTAAGTAAACTTCCATGAAGTTTAATTTCTTAAAAAAGTAAGCATAAGAACTGCTGAACTAGAGTATACCCTTTAAAAGCTAGAAACAAGCCTCTTTCTTTTGCAACCCATCTTCAGTTTAATTTACTGTAGTTACTCAATGAACTGACAAATCGTAGCATTACTAGAAAACTCATCATGGTAGGTCTTGGAATCGTCTCTCCATTAGCCTTTGAAACTCAGACTCTAGACTGTATTATCTAAAGTGACATAACAATTATATACCTGGGGCTATTTAAATTTCAGATTAGATTGGTTAAAGTAAATAACATTAACAATCCAGTTCTTTAATTATGCTAGTTACATTTCATGGATTAACAGCCACATGTGGCTGGTGACCACTATATTGGGAGAATGCATATCTAGAATATTTCTATCCTTTGAGAAAGTTCTATTGGCTAGCATGCTTTGGACAAGTTCTAATGACTATTACCTGGCTGTTTATGTGGTATCTCCACAAAATAGTACATTAGGGTATCTACTTTGCTGTGTACTCATATTAAATATCAAGGCATTTCAGGGAATAGTGCGAACTTCTGACATCTGAACTCAAACAATATCCACCCAGAGTGCATTTCAGTTGTCTCTTAGCTATTGCAATGGCTTGCACCTTTACCGCCCCCACTCAGACTTTCCTCCATGGCGGCAACTGTGCTTTATTCAACAACGGACCCTAATACACAGCAACTTACTTGTCATATAGTAGGTATTTATTGAATTAAACTAAATTGCAAGTAGGTGTTTAAAACCAAAAAACAAATTTATCTTATCATATCTGAAGGTCCAAGAAGTAAAAAGCACAATTAATTCCTTTTATAAAGTAGGCTTTGCTCCGAGTCTAACCACTATCACTGACTAGCTATAGTCTGCTATGAATGCCAAGCTCAGTTTCATCATCCACTACACTACAGTCATTAATGCCAGTACTTTGCTCATGCAGATAAACAGTTATTAAAGGCTTAATGCTAATAGTTATTGTTAAAGAAAAATACTGATGCCTGAGGAATTTCTAGAAGACCTTGGCAGTGGAGGGGAAGCACTAATCAACTTACTGCTCAGATACTCACTGTGGCAGCCACATTTATGTTATACTGGTTGTTATTCAGGAGCGGCTGCAGAATCTCGGTTGTATTGCAATGCAGATTGTGCAGGGATGTGGCTGCTGCTTCCAGTAAAAAGGCTCCAAAGTAAAAAACAAACACTGTAAAATGGTAGACAAAATCCTGAAAAGGGAGGGAGGAAAGGAAAGGCATTTACAGTGAAAACTGGTGCCAGTGTCCTCTGTTCTTAAAGTTAGAACCTTTAGTCAAACAATCTTTAACTGTGTTCACCATTTATTTTGGCTGCTTTAGCAATGTCAAGTCACTAGACCACAAATAAAGTCAAGTGACTCACTGTAACTGGCACAGAGACACACCTTCTGTTGTATCACATTTTATAAGATACATAACTTCAGTTAAGCTTATAATGTCAGAGAGGTGACTATTCATTAACATAAAAGGGAATAATATATGCTATCTTTAAATTTCAGGTAAAGTAGCATGTAATTGTTATTACAGTTTAAATATATATAAACAGATTAAGGAATTTATATTTGAGCAATTATTATTTATATTCATTAAGTCATTATCCCATAGGCTGAAAGATACAGAAGACCTCTTCAATCAAAAACCTAAATGACATAGCACTAGAGTAGGAATGTTCCGGGTCATGGTTATGCCACAAACTATTCATTCTAGAAGCTGCTGGCCCAATGGGGTGGCTGGCTGCAGACACAGCTTGGGGACCCCACTCTCAGGCTCTTTGGCCTGCTGCAGGACATATACTGATACTTTGGTGCTTGGAAACTTGAATCCTGCGTTGTGTGGGGCATGCATGAGAAGAGCTTCCATGACAATCACTCATTGGTTTAGAAGACGCAGACACACACTCTAAGGCCACGGTTCGCCACTGTTAGCATGCAGCAGAATTACAGCCGCCGCCCGGGCTCCCCCTCCAGTTTCTGATTCAGGTCTGAAACCTAGGAGTCTGCATTTCTATCAGGTTCTCAGGTGATGCGGAGGCTGCTGGTCAGGGATTACCCTTTGTGAAGCTCCTGACCTGAGCTTGGCCCTGCTCTGTGAGCGTCAGCTGTCTGCGTTTTCTTCACCTACCTTGCCCTTCCGCTAGTCTTACCAAAGTGCACCCTGCCTAGGTGCTGTGAACTAGTCTTCTTTTCCTCAGGCAACCTCAGCCTCAAGCAGAACTTGAGTTTCTTCAGAACATGTGACCATCCTCCACATTTTTATCTCCAGCGCATGGTTCTCTTTTCCATTCATTGTCAAATGCTCACTAATTAGTTAACAACAAGCTATATTGTCTACCAGTTTACAAACAGCAGCATGGAAGCAAGACCACAGCCACTTTGACATTTAACTTTTCCATCTGTAAATATGAGGACAGTATTGCTTGTCTCCCATAAAGAAATGATGTAAGGGTCAAATGAACAAATGTATGGGCAGAAAATACAGCTTAGAACATTAAGACGTTATGTGATGTCAAAATGGGCAAATGATCCCGTGTGTCTCAGCAACAATTTTGGAGGATAAAGGGAAATGTGCTTAATTTACAGGACTTTCTTTTTGGCATGCCTACTTGACTGAAATCGATCTTTCTGTAAAACCCTGCCCTTCCTCCACAGACGGGGGAAGTAAGCATGGCATCGCCTATTGAGGATTAGGCAACCTGGTATTTTCTCTCCACAAAAGCCAATGAAGAAAAGTCATTCTAAAACTCAAATCTGCTTCTATCCCCTAAATTACACTGGGGAAAATTTTCAGCATTTAATATATTATATATTCTACATTTATCTCACCACTCACATCATGTCCAGAAAGCATGGGAAAAATACTGAAAAACACCACGAATGTTAGCTTAATTTCTCAATCAATGAACACTGGAAGCTATAAATGTTTCAGTCAGTCTTCCAAAATAAACACTTCTAGAAAGTAAATTCTTTATCAAAATGCCTCTTTCTTCATGGTGCACAGGTTGACAGTGAACTATTGGCACAGGGAAGAACAATTTTTTGCCTACAGATTATCAAAGCAGCAAAAAAGTCTGTCACCATTTGGGGGCCACTCTATGATATGTGTGACTCACTGACTTTTTTTTTTTTTTTTTTTGCTGAATATGTAAGATATAGTACACACGTTGTCATGTATAACCATGTGATGAAAAGTGACTGCTCCTGTAAGCAGTTCCAGAAGTGAGGGGAAAAGAATCCTTCCTTAAAATGAAAGAGTCCAGCAAACTCTTTGAGGGCGAGAGCTGACTCTTAGGAAGCATACCACCACTTGGCAAGACAATGCTCTCGGTCAACCATTGTTACGTGTGTTCTTACCATTTTCCCTCGGTAAAAGTGACTACTTCAGCTAAAAAAAAAGGTGACCTATGGAACAGCCTGCTAGTTCTTTCCAATTTCATAAGTTGGTTTAATTTAAAAAATCATTTTACAATTTGAACAGTAGATACAATGATACTGGAGAAATATTTAAACATCGGTGAGGTAGGTTATCAAACAATTAGAAAGCATGTTGGCCACAGCAGGCTTCTGGGGAGTCACTACTTTCGATATTAATCCTTCAGTGGCTAGGCTGTTAGGAGATTCAGAAGCCTGAGGCAGGGCCAGGGAGTGATGGGGGTCAGCACAGCTGGGGAGAGAGAGCACAGGCCGGGGAAATAGCTGTGTGTCACTAGGACTGACGTTCCAGTGGGGCAATACTGGCATTCACTGGCTAAATAGTCTTTGAACCTGATACTAAAAGAGCCCAGTGGCTCTTATCAACATGACAGATAGATTCATCCGCATGCTGTTCTGGGCAAGCCAGGCATTCAGAAATAGGACACAAAGCGTCTACCTGTAACAAAATTAGGGACCTGTGATTTACATCATCTGACCAATTATTAAAAACAGCTGCCCATCACTCATGAAAAAGCAAAGCAAAAATGTCAGAACACACCACTTCAGTCACCTAAGAAACAGGACTGTCAGAGTTTCATATTGCAAGCCTCAGCGTGTTTAGTGGATTATGCTTATTGTCACTATTAGTCAGACAAAGAGAGCACTTTATAAACATTCATTCGGTTATCCTTAACAGCAACCCGTGAGTTAGGTGTTGTTACTAGCATTTTATAGAGGAAGAATTTGGAACTCATAAAGGGATAATATTTTGCCCAGGCTCGAGAGCGACTGAGTCTAAGTCTGTGCAAGACCATAAGCTTCCTGCTCCCCAAATGCCCACAAACCCAGGCCGTTGCTTTCTGGTGGGCTGACTTGGGAGCCATATTCCCTGGGTTCTACTGGATTACACCAGATGACAGTTCTCGTTACACTCTGTAAGCAAAGGAACACACATTTCTCTTGAATATTTCTCCTAAAACAGACAATGAAATGTCATCATCTAGGCACAGCTTGGCGCTATGACATGTGTGGGTCCACACCGCCACCAGAAAAGAACATAGAATAAGCAAGGACCGTGAACACTCCATCTCCCAGCATACAGAAAGATGTCTATGCGCTCCTGCTCACTCTTAAGTGTGCAGCAGCATTGTCTAGTAAAGCAAGGTATGTTCCTTAATTAAAAAGATATTTTACAGGCAAGGTATTTACTTCTTAGAACCTTGAGCTCTCCTTGCCCTGAGAAAGGGGTGGGGGAGTCAGAAAGTGCTAAGATTCATCTGAGCTGTTGGTCAATTGGAGCCATTGCTGTACCTGTGATAACAGTCAAAATCACCTATGCACCATGCATAAAGGGAGAAACAAGAGGGTCTCTGATCAAGAGTTCATTTCTAGAAGTGTTTGTTGTAGAATACTGACTAATGTATACATAGCTTCTAGTTTCATTTATCATAAGGTTAAACCAATATTCGTGGTCGTTGTCTTCAATATTTTTCACAAGCTTGATAGGTTTGAAATGAAGGAGAGGATAAAAGCACAATATTGAATAGTATATATTGAATACTAAAGATGTACCCCACCGTAATTTGGGGAGAAGAGCTGATCTGTGTTTCAAAATTATTTTTCTTTATTGGTTTTCCTGTGGGAAGGAAATTGCAGCAAGTTGCCTACCTTTCAACAGGAGATGCCATCCATACTTATTTCTCCTTTTATGGTCATAGGCTTTGGGCAAAAATGTTCTGAAATGTTCTGTAGGTGAGGTATGCCTATCCTTGAGAGGAATATATACATGAAGTCTAACTGACTGAAGGTCTGATTTAATTTTTTAAGTGTTATTTATTTATGCATATAAGAGCTGGGGTGTAGGCCAGAGGTGCTTGGGGTGAGAAGATTCACCAGAGACAGAGTAGGGGACAGGCAGACCAACTGAAATACACTAGTGAGGGAAACAGCAACTGCACCATGTGGGTTACCTCCCTGGTCAGGGGTTGGACTCGTGCTGCAGTGTCTGTGGATAGCTTCATACTGCTGAGACTTAACCCCTTGTGCCAACAGGGAGGGTTTCGTTTAAATTTCTTTTTTAATGATTTATTTATTTATTTGTGCATACAGAACCGGGGTACAGGTCAGAGGGGCAGGAGCAGTGAGAGGCTTCACCAGAGACAGAGTGGGGAGCAGAACAGGCAGACTGATGAAGTTCACTGCTGAGGGGAGCAGTGGGCGGGTCGGGAGAGGTCTGTTGTGCCATGCAGATCACCTCCTGGGCGGGCCAGGGATTGTACTGGAACTGAAGCGGCTGTTGCTTGCTCACAGTGCTGCATCCTTACCCACTGCACCACTAAGGAGGGACCTGGGCTTAAATTTCTAACCATCAAAATGTGATGGAGATCTAGTGGGCGTCTTCACAAGTTTCACTAAAGCTCTGTGCACATGGAATGAAATCTGTACTCATTAAGCCATTGGGAGCTAGTCCCCGAGGATAAATAAACACAAGCATTAGAAGCCCCTATATGACAGGGGGAGAGCAAGCTGGCCCAACTTCTTAATAACATATTTAAAAAAACTGAGCTGACCATAGATTTATTTCTTAAAATTTAGCAAGTGGGGAGTCAAAAACATAAAACACTCCCTTTTCTGCATCTATAAACATATATACTTAAGTAGACCAATTACTTATCTTTTTTCTTTAAAAGAATATATGTACTTAAATATCTGGAGGAGGAACCAATGGAAATTTCCAAATGTTGTCACAGCACCCATCTCCCACAGGCATCGGCTCAAAAGTTCAGTAACTGGCCCTCCCTGGTGGCGCAGCGGGTTAAAGCACTGCACCAAGAAGCTAAAGCCACTTCCGCATGAGTTCGATCCCCGCCTGCCCCGGAGGTGACCACATGGCGCGGCAGACCTCTCCTGACCCGCCCGCTGCTCCCCTCAGCAGTGTACTTCATCGATCTGCCTGTTCTGCTCCCCACTCTGTCTCTGGTGAATCCTCTGACCCTCATCTCTGGCCTGTATCCCAGTTCTGTATGAATAAATAAATAAATCTTAAAAAAAAAAAATCAGTAACTGTAACGTAACTCATCTGCTGTACCAAATGGGTGAAGGCCATCTAACCAGCACAGGGACTTCCTGAGGGGGGCCCTGCCATGCTGCAGCCAGGGCCATGGGCTCCCAGAACAGCCTAGGGAATGACATTCCCGCTGCACTAGGGGCAACAGCCAGGCCGGGAACCACACACATCAGGACAGAATGAGGTCGGTATGTGTTTCTCTCATTCTCCTGAAACAGACTTAAAAGTCCCTCACCAAGAAGTTCCAGTTGGCATCGATCTGGGTCACCACACCGGAGAGGAACACCACCAGGAAGAGGAGGGAGAAGACAAAGGCCGTGACGGACACGAACATCACCCATCCTTGCAGCAGAGGTAGAGGGACTTTGGAGGAGGCGACCAGGATCCAGACGAGGCCCCCGAAAAGCTGGAAGGCAGAGAGAACCAGGGTAATTCGTCTGTAACAAAAGTGGGGGTACCGGCATTCCCCGGGGACCGTGCACCTCTCTGCATCCCAGCCTGTCTTCCTGCTCCGGTCCTGCGTGTGCTGCCTGGCCCAGGCACAAGGCCGAGCTTCAGATGGAAAACCTGGGTTGCCTGACCAGCCATTTCCACATCTGCCTCAGTGTGGATGCTCTTCCTCCTCACAGTCATGTTCACTGACCATCTGAAGGCTCCTCCCTTTGTCTTGCAGCCTGTAGCCACTGGCAACTCTGAGCATTTTCCTTTTTGGTCAACTGTTTTCCCAAATTCATCTGCCCATAGTCGTCATGGCTTCTCCTTGCTGTCATTCTTCAAACCACTGAACACTGCCTTCTGCTCTAGCCACTGATCAGGGCTGCTCAGCAAAGGTCAGCCACAGCTTTCTGACTTGTCACTTTTAAAAAAAGATTTATTGTTATTTATTTATGCATGCAAGAACTGGGGTGTGGGCCAGATGTGGGGAGGAGGGACAACAGGATTCACCAGAGACAGAGTGGGAATGAAATAGGATTGACAGAAATACACTGCTGAGGGGAGCAGCGGACAAGACAGGAGAGGTCTGCTGCATCGAACTCGTGCTGCAGTGGCTGGCTACTGGGAGTGCTGAGACTTAACCCCTTGAGCACCAGGGAGGACTTCTAACTTATCACTTCTACTGCCACGTCCTTACCATGACCTCTGTGCACACGGGTTATCGCTTCTCTGCTCACACAATGACAGTGGTCCCAACACTGTCACACCCTAGGTGTGCAGTGGCCACACATCCTCACTTGTGTAAACCACACTCTGTGACATCTGCATGATGCCAAAACTACCTAAAGCACCGCCTAGGACATCCCTGTAATTAAGCCACACACAACTATAGACACAAGTACGGTTGTTAAGTGCTGTACATGATGTCAACAACATCTGTCTGTGCTGGGCCTGGGAATAGGTACTTTCGATATTCATGATCTAACATTCAATAAGTATCCACTGTGTTCAGCACAGTGCCAGGAGCTACGCTTGGTTCCACCAGCACAGAACTCACAGTCTCTTACAGGAAAGAGAGGAAACAAGTGGTTAAATGCTGCTCCACCCACGCACAGCTAGGCAACTGAGGGTATGGCAAGTCCCCACAGGGAGGCTCGCCATCCAGATTTCAGACATCAGGAAATACTCCCAGGAAGCAGCAGGTCAAGGGATAAGGCTGGAGGCTCAGGGGTGAGGCGGCTGCAGCACAGAAGGGGAGACTGGCTGTGATCTGGTGGGTGCCGAGGGGCTGCTAGAGGAGAGGGGCAGAGTTCAGCGTGTTAGAGCAGAGGAGGGGAAAGGCCAGTGAGGCAAGCTGGGGACTGTGCTGGAGAACAGGCGGAAGGTCCTGAGGTCAGATCGATGAGCTGAACCTCCTCCAAGGGCAGGGAGGCCAAAGGTCGGCTTGAGTGGGACGGACACGTTCAGATTCGAATTTAGAAGTTTCTCTCTGGTTCGTGTGTGAGGATGGGTTTCAGAGGAAAAGACGTGACAGAGCTCTGTCTTTGGGTTCGTTTTTTTATTATTATTATTTTATAATAGTTTATTTTTACATCATTTTGTGCATTTTTCCAACTCAGTTGCAATCCCCTTGGGCTTCCCATCACCATATCACCCATGTGTCATCACCATAGTCCAGGGCATTTCCCTCCCCCCACTGTTTTTGATCCCATTCCCCAATCCACCCCCACAATAGGTTAGTTTTGTTTTTTTTTTTTTTTTTAAAGATTTATTCACTATTCACACAGAAATGGAGTATAAGCCAGAGGCATAGGGGTGGTGAGAGGCTTCACCAGAGACAGAGTGGGGAGCAGAACAGGCAGACTGATGAAGTTCACTGCTGAGGGGAGCAGTGGGCGGGTCGGGAGAGGTCTGTTGTGCCATGCAGATCACCTCCTGGGCGGGCCAGGGATTGTACTGGAACTGAAGCGGCTGTTGCTTGCTCACAGTGCTGCATCCTTACCCACTGCACCACTAAGGAGGGACCTGGGCTTAAATTTCTAACCATCAAAATGTGATGGAGATCTAGTGGGCGTCTTCACAAGTTTCACTAAAGCTCTGTGCACATGGAATGAAATCTGTACTCATTAAGCCATTGGGAGCTAGTCCCCGAGGATAAATAAACACAAGCATTAGAAGCCCCTATATGACAGGGGGAGAGCAAGCTGGCCCAACTTCTTAATAACATATTTAAAAAAACTGAGCTGACCATAGATTTATTTCTTAAAATTTAGCAAGTGGGGAGTCAAAAACATAAAACACTCCCTTTTCTGCATCTATAAACATATATACTTAAGTAGACCAATTACTTATCTTTTTTCTTTAAAAGAATATATGTACTTAAATATCTGGAGGAGGAACCAATGGAAATTTCCAAATGTTGTCACAGCACCCATCTCCCACAGGCATCGGCTCAAAAGTTCAGTAACTGGCCCTCCCTGGTGGCGCAGCGGGTTAAAGCACTGCACCAAGAAGCTAAAGCCACTTCCGCATGAGTTCGATCCCCGCCTGCCCCGGAGGTGACCACATGGCGCGGCAGACCTCTCCTGACCCGCCCGCTGCTC